AACTTTGTTCTACAGAGAAACGAACAGATCAATATCTTGGAAATGGGAAAAGTATCTCATGTTGGTGATTCAAATGATTGTCAGTGGTTCTTAACCAGGGGGATTGTTAGAATCACCTATAGAAAAATTTCAGCATATAATCACCTGGATTTGATCATTAGGCATTCTAAGTCAGTCAGTCTACACTGGGGCCCAGATATGTGAATTTTTAAAAGCCCCCAACGTGATTTTCAGTTGGGAACTACGTTTAAGCCTCTCTATTTAGAATTTCTTGATGTATGATTTGCTTAGACTTATTTATAAAGGGAACTATTGTATGTTTCTGCTTGGATGTGGCACTGCTTCTGCCACATAAATCATGAAAAATAAATTATGTTCAATGGTTCTGTTTTTTTTTTGTGGGGTTTTGGTGAAAAACACACGTAAATGGGCATCTTTGCATTCTTTTTGATAAAAGATAATCTATACATATGTGCATGCATATATATATAAATACATATATATACATCTTTTTTATAAAAGATGGGCTTATAAAAAGTTGCTTTTTTAAAAAAAATTTTTTATTGATTTCAGAGAGGAAGAGAGAGGGAAAGAGAGATAGAAGGATCCATGATGAGAGAGAATCATTGATTGGCTGCCTCCTGCACGCCTCCCACTGGGGATTGAGCCAGCAACCCAGTCATATGCCCTGACTGGGAATCAAACAGGTGACCTCCTGGTTCAGAGGTCGACACTTAATCACTGAGCCACAACAACCAGGCTACAGTTGCTCTTAAGTTCAGGAATATGTATGCATTACTGGAGTTTGTCCAAAAAGCCAATTTCCTACCCATCTGTGAGTGGTGTGGAGAGGGTGGTGGGCCCAGGAGTCTTCTTTTAACTAGTTCCCCAGATGATTCTGATATAGGCAGGTCATATCATATGTGAGAAAAATGTGTTATTTTCTTTCCTCAGTTTTGTCCAGAGAAGGCAGGGTAGGCATCATCTTTGATTAGTTCTGTGATGTGACCTCTGGAACTTTACAATTGAGCAAGGCAACAGAGTAAGTACAATTGCCCAGCAGCATAGAAATTCTATTCTTCATGTACTTGTCCCTTAAGTTCGCGAAGTGCCCTGTGTGCCTGGCTCAGTCCAGCCACTTTCACTTACTTGATCTTAGTTGATCCTAAAAACAACGCACTGAGATGGGCATTATTGTCCTCCAGGTTGAGTGACCTAGCCAATTTGAAACCCACTCTCTAAGAGAAAGTGGCACCTGAGTCCCAGTTTTCTAACCTGCTAAGCCTATTTCTTCATCTTTCAATTGGAGGTAATAAAAGTACCTACCTTACGTGCTTGTTGTTTAGAACAATTGGGGTAGTGCTTGGCATATGGTAAGTGCTCAATAAATATTGCTTAGTAGGGAACCAGAGTTACCCACAATAAAATTATTTTCCTAAGCAGTCCCAAAGAATCTGTAAAAGAAAGGGTCCCTTCAGGATGAAAGACAAAGACATTTCTAGAGGGGTGAGCAGGAGGGAGAGCTAGAACTTTGTCAAGATTGTGTCTAAGCATCTGAAATTTAAAGGACCACCACTTGTCTCTGACAAACCTAGATTTGGACAGTAGTTGAGTAGCATATTAGAGCTATGAAAAAAAATGCAATTCTTAACTTTACAGTCTTCATAATCTTAATTCCTTCTCTTTGAAACTTGAGTAGTTGAGGAGAAAATACTTCTTCCTCTGGCCTGATTTGTTTGTGCAGGTTATCCTCAGGATGCATAAAGATGAGTACCAAAGAGCCTACCTCTCTGAGTTGTATATTGATAACAAGCTCACCATCATTATACTCCCCCACAGTCTCCTCTCCTCTGTGCTAGAAGGGATTAGTAGTCTCAAGGAAGAGACAGGAAAAAGAAAAGGTTACTGATAATTTGAGACATCCCAAATATCAAGGAGAATAGCAGGAACCAGACAATCTTTGGAGTTTTATAAGATAGGTGGGCCACACAGGAGGATGGGCTGTATAAGGTGGACGGTCAGGAAGAGGGCGGGCCATGCAGAGTCCTCATATGCACAAGTGTGGAGTCCGCACTGCAGATGATGCACTTTGGTTGAGTAAATTTGTCTGGAGAAGGAGAGATTGTGATGGTTGGGAGGTGTGATGGTCATTGTCAATTTGGCTAGGCCACATTCCCGTTATTCAAACACTAATATAGGTGTTGCTGTGAAGGTATTTTGTAGGTATGCTCAAACTCCATAATCAGTTGACTTTTAAGAAAGGATGATTATCCCAGATAATCTGGTGGACTGATTCAATCTGTTGAAAGGCCTTAAGAGAAGAGATGAGCTTTTCCAGATTAAGAAGTTCTGCCTGTGGGCTGTAGTTCAGCCTGTGCCAAGTTCTCACCCGCCCTTCCTTGCCTAGCCAGATCCCACAATTGCATAAGCCAATTCCTGGTGATAAACCTCTTAATATATAGGGTTGGTTTATAGTTGTGAGTACATGGAACACAGTTTATTCTTATATTATGATTTA